TCAGGGGCGGGTTGGATGGGGCTTGGAGCAACCTGGTCTGGTGGGAGGTGTCCTTGCCCATGGAATTAGATGATCTTTAAGGTCCCTTCCAACTCAAATCATTCTGTATCATTCTGTGATCTCCTGGTACCTTGCTCAGCACCACGGCATCCTCGAAGCTGCTTGACCCCATTCCTGAACACTGCACCCCACACCTTGGATGCGGTGAGGGGCTCTCCCACTCCCCCGGTGCAGTGCCCTCATGGCCCCAGCATCCCTGCTGCTGCCTGATCCCAAAGCTGTCCATGAGGATCTACTGTCTCTGTGCAGTCCCAGGGCACCTGGTCCCACAGCACCCCGGGGTGCCCCTGCAGGAGACCTGGGGGCCAGCTCAGGCCTCACCTCCCTGCCGGCCTGGGTGCCACCCTGCAGTGCATCTCAGTGCCATGTGTCACCCCAAAACCCCCCATGGTGGTGCTGGTCTAGGTGAGGCAAGGCCTCACTCTGTACCAAGTCTTGTCTCCCCAGAGCCACTCTCCTGCAGTGGGGCAGAGGATTGTGCTGGTGGCACAGGGACAAGTGGAGCCCCCTGTTCTTGGTCACCAAGAAAAGCCCTCTGTGACACCCAAAATGTGTGGGCAGCACTGCTGGCAGCTGTGGGACATGTGGGGCTCCAGAGTCACTGTGTGCACAGGGCCCTCCAGCCAGAGCCAGAGCCTGCAGGGACATGGGGACAGAAGCTGGTCCCACACCACACCTGGCCAGCTCAGCCTCCTTGTTGTGGGGCCACCATGACTCAGAGACTTCCTCAACCCGATGTGCTGCTGCCGTGTTTGTTTAATTGTCCCCAGATTTTTTACCTGTGAATCCACCCCATTAGGCTTTCAGCCACCCAAATTATCTTCACCCACATCCTGTGGCCAGAAGTGCCACTCCTGACGTGGTGCAGAAACAAGACAATTCCTCGGGCACTGCTGGAGCAGTTTACTGTACTCACCACCCCAAGCAGCCCCCGGGACTCCTCAGGCTCTCAGCCCCTTCTACTGCTGTCGAGGGGCTGCTTTTCCCCGTCCCAGAGCAGCACCACGCGTGCACAGCCCATGCGGCAGACAGCGGTGCCTGCAGGAGCCCACCAAGTGGGGATGCTCGTGGCCAGGAGGGCTGCAGGGCAGCATGTCTGGGGTATTCCCTGTCACCAGAAGGCATTATCTGGGCCTCGGGGAGCTGCAGGGAAAGGGGAACTGGGAGGGAAGAGACAGGGAACTCAGAGGCGGGGAACTTCGGGCACCGCGAGGGGAGAACCTGGACTCGAGGGGGGGCAGTCGGGAATAGGAGCAAGGAACCAAGAACGGGGCGCGGCACCGGGGCGGGGAAGCGGGGGCAGCCGGAGGGGAACCCTGCCCGCCCCTCGGG